CTTTGAAAGGAGCAATTGATTTCCATTTGGTACGCTCACCTCTTAAAAAAATCGGCGGCCAAACGAAAACACCATTTTAGTTTGCTTTGGAAAATTTATGGCGCGACGCTCATTATATGGTTAGAAACTGTGCCTAATCTAATTTATTTTTTTAGCGCTGAGTATTTTAGAAAGCATCTACTCCCAATTTAATTTTTCCACTCCTGCACCTGTCTACCCTGCAAGCCGTCACAATTTACAAAATAGGATAACACATTTTTTTACGTCGTTAAAAATTAATGCAGTGAAATTTCCTCTATGCTGTAGTAACATATACCTAATTCATTTAGCAGTCTAGGGTGACGCATGAGTGGTATCGCGCTTAAAAAATGCAAACAACGGTAATTTTAAATTCTGGATTTAAAACTTTTTCCCGGAAATAAAAAATAGGGGATAAGAAGGAAAGAAAATAAGAGCGTATTGGTAACCGAGCCTCCTTTCGAGTGACATGTTATTGCGTGACACCATCGCAAAAAACGAACGTCAATGATTCATTTCATCTGTCAGGATGCTCTGGCTCGTTCTATAAAAAAAAAACTTCCATTCTTATTGTGAAAGGAAGACTTGTAAAATGTGAGTGTTCCAAGCTGAAATATGGTTATAACTGTCCAGCAATGCGACGTTTCCGGCAGGAACCTTCGTGAGATGTTTTCACTGTGATTTGGTATACACCGCCTGTAGTGCTGTACTATCGAAGCTGTTGTCAAGTCTCTTTATAACAAGATTGAGGCAAGGAACCAATCTTAGAAAGGTGTTTTTCGCCAGGTGAGCCTAAGAAATCCAGTTTACAATCTAGTATAGGTCAAAGCGATAAGATTTTGTTGGAATTATGGCTTCGATAATAAAAAGCCTAATTGGATTATCTGCGGTTGTTTACATGGCGGCATTGCGATTTGCACGAAATAGACCGGGCTACTTCTTCGCAGTAATTAAGAGCCCCAAATTAATTTTTATATCCATGGAAAGAACATTCTTTCCACTTTGTAAAAATGCTCATCTCAAGTGATTCCGAGTTATACCAGGTAGGAAAAATTTTTATTGAAAAACTGCTCCAAAATGTAATTTTTAATCAATCAAATTTTGGCTATTTTCAAATATTCGCCAATAATTCATAGTTATGTCAACAAGCCCGTTATTAGATTCAAATCATTTTTTAATACCTCGTATACAAATAGGTAAAATTCAGAAAGACTTGCTTTCTTTTGCGCTTTTGAGGAATAAAGGTTTTGTTGCCCTACTCGTCGACTTCATTTCGGTCATTTTATGGCGGTTGGGGCTCGATACAGTGTTTGGTGATTTTCTAGAAAATAAAAACAGCTCTGAACAAAAAAATTATACCACGTTTATAGACTTACCCTAAGGTATCTCTGAGCGAAATATGAGGATAGTGATTTTTCCGATCATGTGCCACCTCCCACGCGGTGATAAAAAAAATTCGCTCTTATTGGTCTGCAAGGAGGTATAAAAGAAAAGAGGAAGAGAGTACTACAGTTAAAACAACAGAAAACTTCACTAAACGACAGAAACAACAAACATCATTAAAACAACAAATTTTTATCAGTAACAGAAAAAAGCAAACAAAAGCAATTGTGATAACAGCAGTAACGGAAGCGTTTCAGTTTTAAGAAAAAATCAGTCAAAAGTCACAGGATAAACTCACAGCAACATCTCGACATATTTTGTGAGGATCGGCATCAGGATCATGTTCTCCCACATCTACAGGCGTACAAGGATTGTACGTGTATCGCCAACCAGGATATTTCTTGCCAGCAATCAAAAACCTGTTTTAAAAACATTGAGAGAAACCGTCTGAGTCACGTAATCCTTTCGAAATGTCAGTACACTCAGTAAATATGAGTTGTCTCTCAAATACATGGGCAAAACTGAGAAAATCCTAGGTCAAATATCTACTTGATACAAACATGTTATCATCAACTTAAGAATTACGAAGTAATCTGGTTTTATCAACTAAGTTAATCATGTATATTTGGGCCACCGTAGAGAGTTTCTAAAGCTGATATTGGGGTTTTTGACCTCAGAGCGAATGACGAAGGCTAACGCTCGAGGCGTCAGCTTTAGAAACTCTTTACGGTGGCCAAAATATACATTATCAACTCAGTTGATTGCAAAAATTATCTTGTGAACTGTCGATTGTACTGACAACCTTGTGTACCTTGGTTTTCCGTCTGTTCTACGCAGCGGCATCAAGCTGTAGATTCCTCCATCGAATGTCTTACAAGTGCAGTTGTTGACTATAGTGATACCTTGGCCGTAACACTCATCGATGCACCATAATAGTATGAGTCCTAACAATTGTTTGATCTTCATTTTAGCCTGGAGGAAGTTGATCGAAAAATCAAATTAAACGGACTGTATCAAAGCCATTTAAATTGAGAAAAGATTGTGCATCGGCATGAATTAGGAGGCAATTTCGGAAATAAACAAACTAAACGCGCACAAGATAAAACTCCACCTCTTCTTAGTACTGTGTTCATTCGAAAAATAATAAAAGAAGAATCTTCCAACTTAAAAGTACTCAATGGGAGGTTTGTAGTCTCGTGACTAACAACACTATTCTCAGAATTAGCCTAGGTGTCAACTGGACGATTGCGAAACTTCTCGTCGAATGACTCCATCGCCTGAGTAGAATATCAAACACATGTTTCGCAAATAGTACCATTTCCTATGTATATTTTCTATTCGACAAACGTTTTGGCTTCCTCGTGCAAAGTTAAGTACACAGTCTGGCGTTTTTTTACAGAGATTCAAAAATTTTCCACAGGGAATCGAAGATGTGCCCAACTGATATATCTTTCTGCTGATTCAAAAAGTAAACCGAATGTATAATTCTCATTGCATGTGGGAGGTATGTTTTGTTTTTGTTTTTTTTCTGAACCCACAATAAGATAATTTGAGATTCAAGATATGGGCTTCCCTCATTTTAGATCATTTCTACTAATTTAAAAGTTTCAATATCCCTTGGATGTCAACCCATTCCTTGCACATTTGTTATTTACAGACTGCAAAGACCTAACCTCGAATTTTAAATGATCCGTGTATCGACTTTTGCGTGTTGTAGGCAAAAAATTTTGCAATCTAGAGCATTTCAATGGACCTAGAGAACTAGTGAATTAAATTCATCTCAAGGAACACGACACGGAAGGGAATCTAATCCCGCTGGAGGTCTGATGCCAGACCTTTTAGCTGCAGAGAACCCACACGGGAAAAAAGCTTTTAACTACGTTCTTACGTATCAATATCTTACTTCAAAGTGAATCCTGGCTCTGCGAGGTCGCCACTAACGATTGCAATTTCCGGGAATTTCCTTAAAGCCTGCTCCTAAAAGATGTCACGCTCGATGTCACTGCAAATGAGATCAATATTTATTCTCAGAAATTCCGGATTTTGTTTCTCACATGATGACCCATGCTCCAGTCAACGGTTCAGTTCCCGGAACGACATCAGAAAATAACAATGATTTAATAGGGTTATTTTTGGTAGTGATCAAAGAATTAAGTTTGTTTTTCGCAACCGAATGTCAAAAGTGATCGATTGTGAAGAAAGCATCAGCAATAACCACTAATTGATCGCAAGATGTTTTGACAGCGCAACGAGAAAGGTTACTGACGTTTGTTAATAACCATCTCTAAGAGAAATATCCATTTTGAATACTTATGAAACTGTTTTTTTCCTTTCTTTTTACAGAAAAGTTGAACTTGATACAGATAGTAAACGGGATTTAAAGGCCAAAAATTGCACTCAGAAGCTTGGTGTCACTGGATTCAGGAGGTATCAATAATTAACACTGTTTTACGCTCGCTATGTTTATCTTATGTGACTCAACAGGTCTGGCTCGTGAAAACATCATTGTTCTGTGTTCTTGATAGAGTTACCCTTTTATCTTCAGTACATCATAATGATTCTTGATTTTCTACTTTGAAAGGTGATTTCAGAAGTCAGATGTGAGCCCACATCTGCGTTTTATATTGTGGCACACTCTCGCATTTTTCAATTCGAGTTAATAAAGTCTGCAGCGTTTCCAGGAATCATTTACCAAATACGGTCTTTTAAAAAGTCCACTAAGTATCAAATACAATTATCTTACTAACAGTCGTTTTGCCGCTTACTATTACTTAAAAGACTAATTTGCTGAGGTAAACTTGTGTATCGTTAAGATGAGCGTTATTTCACTTTGAATTATTATTACAATTAATGTAGACATCCTTATTCTAATTGCGGTCTTGCGATGGCTTGTGAACTGATAAACTTTGGTAGAGCGGAAGTTGATCATGTGATGACTAATCCAAAAACTTGTAATTGGCTTTACAGAGGTCATTCAGTTTCGGTCAGGAGCCAGCCAAAAGAAGAAGCAGAATTTTTCTCTTAGGAAAAAGCTGTTTTCCGTGACAAAGTAATAGATATGTACTTTTACTTAAGGAGACCTATAATAACGCTCAAGATATTTAAGAGTCTATCGAATGACATTTGTGAATAGATTCCAAGAAAACCAACGGCTCGAAATCGATCAATTTGCATGCGTAGATTTTATGAACGGAAACCAAGCACTAGCGTGCCCAGGCCGATATTTTCAGCCTATTTTTCTTTGAAATTCACCTGGTGATCATTTTACAAACCATATTCAAACGACTGTTGTTTTCAGAGAAAACGTTTGACCTTTTTTTTCTGAGAATGGTTCAATTGGCCTTTATCGAGTCTAAACGAACATATTCACAATGATTGAGAAATTTTAGACTGATAAGAAAGCGTAGCCCTGAACTGGCAAGGTCCTAAAACTTCCAAACAATCGGGCTCTGGAAATATGTAGCTCCGTTACTTCAGCGACAAGCTATGTCAAATATAAATCTGCTTGATTTCAGCTTCACTCACGAAATTCAGGTTACTTACACAACGTAATACTTTTCATGTTGTCTTTGTACATTCTCTTCCTTCTTTAGGCTAAGATGCAGAACAAATGCCTGTTGGGATTGATTTTTCTGTCGTGCATGAACAGATGCATTGCTCAGAGCATTCAAACAATCAACAACTGCACGTGTCAGACATCAGATGGAAACTTTTACAGTCTGTGGCCCCTCAGAGGAACAGAAAAACCACAGTATGTTAAGTTTTCTCTTCTGCTTTCCATCTTGTTTTTTTAATTGACGACGAAATGATATTTGCAAAGGGATTTTCATCCTTCTATTTAGGGCTAATATCAAATCATATCAATCATAATCATGGAGAGTGGCTTGATTAAGATATATGAAATCTCGATTTGCCTTTTGGAAACAAAACCTTTATTATCATGAATTGTTCTCAAACTCGTTTACATGCATTTGATGATCCTTCCTTTACTAAGTAGTTGCTCTGTCTTTAATTCTGTTCGAAACAAGTGCGGAGCAAGAGGGGTTCTCAATAATCATGTGACGTCCCTCTTTGTCAATAAAAGAGATAATTTAGAATGATTAAAACAACCTGGCATGCACTAAAATGCCAATAGGAAATTAGTATAAGCTTCTCTACCAAAGAATCATCTCCACTTCCGATAATGCCTTTGTAATTATGTTCTTATTTCTTTTGTCTGGACAATAGCTTCATTGATGTTAAGGGAAAAAATGGTTGGAGGTATGCTTACAATCCTTGTACCTCTATGACATTCGGACAAGACGATCCAGACCATGGAAAGATATGTCATGATATCGGAGTAGGTTCATCATACAGCCTTAAATTTCTAAAGCTTTGCAGTGTTTTGTTGTTATTGTTTTTGTTCTGTTATTTTAGTGGCTTCCTGTTTCCGATAATTGTAGCAAGTAAGCATTGCTAAATTAATGTCCTGCAGACTTTTTTTCTGAGTATACCTTGTTGATTTTTTTTTTGCATCTTAACATCTTTTACAGAAATTCCAATTTAAAACTACAGGAAGCTGATTTTGATTGTCAAATTTTATTTAGATATGTAAATATCCTGAAATAGAAAAACCGCGTGATTACCTACAAGTTGGTGTGCAGACAGGGGTCAGATGTGCACTAGGCGCAGAAGGACAGATTGAGCTGGTGTATAATACAAAGTAGGTATTTCTTGCAAACAAATACAAGCCATTCTTATGTTGAAATTTTCTGTCAGGCGCCAATTTAAATTAAGTTATGTCAAAGGGTTGCTGCATTATCAGCCGACATATCAGCCCCCTAATAAGGGGTTTATTTACTGAATACAACGATCAGGTAGCATTTGATCGACAATTATTCTTCAAGTGTTGGAAATCTCTGAAATTATTCTCACTATAACCAATTCATAAGCAAAAAACAAAATTCAAAAGTACTTAACTTTTGCACATATCATCGCAGCGATCCCTCTATCGACACAAAACATTCAACGGTACAGCTTATTTGTGACCAGACTATTCCATTCCCGGATTTCGAACCCAAGGATGAAGATAACTATGTTAGTATGACTTTTTATTGTTGGTTTCTGGTTGTTTTTGGTGTTGTTTTTTAATTCTGTTTATTTATACTTTGGAAAGGGATGTGACTCCCTCAATTCTGTATTCTTACCGTTTCTTTGGGGAGGGGATGGGGAAGGGCGAGTAACTGTTAAATTATCAGACGGTTCTGGTTGACTATTGAAGTATAGAAAATTTGACTACTACATAAGGAGCTGAAGTTAGAACCGGTATCAAATTTTTCTCGCGGGAATTACAAACAAATTATAGTTAGAAGTAGTAGGAAAAATATACAATTTCGGAATATAGTCATACTAACCATAATCTTTAACAGTGGTTTCATGTTATTCCACTTCATAGATATTCACCATAAAAACCAAATGCGCATGTCCGAATCGGTGTTGGCCTGTGCCTATGCCGACAGGCCCAACAAAGGTAATACCGACGACAACAGGCCCAACGAAGGTAATACCGACGACAACTTCAAATTCAACGGAACACAGTCCTGAAGGTAATTGCCAAGATTTGTTTGGACTCTGTACATGAACGGAGTACAATGTTCCTTTTCGGTGCGTGGAAAGGGGAGGGAGGGGTAAGGGAGGGGGGAAGGGAGAGGGAGAGGGAGGGGGAGGATGGGAAGGAGGGTACTGTTTGGAAGGCAACAATATCAAAAGAATGGGTCATTGTCCTTACATTTAGAAAATAAAATCCAAGATCCTAATTTTGCATGTTGGCGGTTGTCAATCTCTATTATCACTACGAGGAAAACCGCATTCAGACCATGTAAATGATAAATCGTCAATTCAGTCAGAACTGGAATGCTTTTAGTGGTACGGTGAATGTTCATGGTAGGTTATGCTACTTTTTGTATTGATCTGTATCTCATCGATACTTTGCTTAATGCAACGAAAAGAAACTTCCTTTCTACTTGAGAGTATCTTTAAGGTTGCCTTTGGTCAATCATAGCTTCTACCCTAAAGCCACTATTAGAATTGTCATTGCTATTTTAATTATTATTTGGGAAATACGTTCGTATTTTTACTGAAATCGGAAAAAATGTCCGACGATTGAGTTCGCTTTGCTTACGGTGAAAACACTATTTTAACACGTGTGTTCTATCATACACCAAAAAATGACAAATTTGAAGAATATTTTTCTTCGCCTTCTTAATTACTTTTATTTTCTCCTTTCGATGAACGTTTACCTTATGGCATTAACGCCTGAAACATTTATTCCACAAAAGCGTGGAAGGTACCGCATGGTTAACGTATCCAGCAGAAAGTGCTCTGATAAGGAAAACAAAAACAATTTCAACCTGAATTAATTAAGACCTTTTTTAATTTCAGGTTCAAAGTTGTTTAATTGGAAGCTGTACATTTTGCTACCAGTTCTTGTAGTAGTTATCGTCATCATGCTTTGTTTTCTATGTATGTGGTGGCATATTCCTGCTTTTAGAAATGCCCTGAATCGCAGATGCTGTCATCGTTTGGGAGGGTATGAACAGATCGAAGAGGAATATAGAAACCACTTTAAAAAAACAAAGACAACTAACGTTATCAAAAACAAAGATAAGGCTGTTGAACACGACGATTTTGATGTAAAAGATGAACTGGTCGAGCCAGTTCAAGACGTAGACGTGGGGGACAAGTCCCAAACTGTTGGGAAAAATGACATTTTAACATTAGTTTTGTAACAAAACCAAACCCCTTGTTTAGGTGTTGGGTCCCTATTGCCCGGGCTTGCCCAAAGAGCAAAAGGCCAGGTAAAGGTTTGGCCTTCGTAATTTTTTTCGGCGTTCAGCAACAAATCGCCCTCTGAACCATAAAGAGCATCTGTGAAATCCAAGTAAGCATCATCTCCTACCTCTCGTAACGAATTTAACTGTTTTCAAATAGTCTTGCACTTGTCTAATGTTTATATATCTGAAGGGTTGGAAAGAGAGGATTTTTTCTCGAATGTAAGGAGAAAAAATGGCGTCTGATGCGAACCGGACGGTGGTTTTCCCCTCCTTTTGCACTATCCTTGATCCAAAATCACCTTTGTAGACCTCAAAAATAAGAAGGGATATGAGAGAGAATATTCAACTGGAAGTAAAATAGCTTCGATCGGTAGTTGCTTGATCGAATACATCAAATTAATTTATTAAGAGGACGCGGAGTAATTTGGAGGTAGGAAGACTGCAAGTTTCAATAAAAAACCTCCATTTACACTTTATTCTTGCAACGATGCATTTAAATGGCACCATTTTTGGAGTTCATGTCTTTCACTGCAATGTCATTCGCAGCCACTCTCGAACATATTTAACACTATTTGTAATTCTGCCGTGACGATGCATTACAAACATCTGCCTGACCAAGTGAGACAAATGTGAATACAACAGATTTCCAAAGTGGCAACGAGCGAACGTTTCTTTATCAGGTACTTAAAATCAGTTCATTTGAAGGACGAGGAGTTGATCAGGCGCTGGAAGGATAAAAGAACTGCATATACGCCCTATACCTAGTAACGATGTCTTCAGTACAATCTTTTGAATTCGAAATAAATTGAGTCGAGGCACACTGCGAATATCTAAAAGATTGTTAACGATCTGGTGTGAAACGCGATGAATTATTTTATGTAAAGCGTAGAAGCTAGCTGAAACATTGACTGAAACGCTGTAATCACGGTCAAGTATGCCCCAGTCTGTCATAGAAATACTTAGGGAATTTGCCGTCACAAACCTCGCATTTCAACTTGGAAGGAAATACTTGTGGACGTAAAAAGAAAGCCCCGAATAACGTTGTGTTGAGGCTGTTAGTCATACCCTAAAGTAAAAAAAAAATCTAAATAAACATAACTGAGTGGAGGCACATTACGAATCTCGAAAAGATTGTTTGCGATCTAAAGTGAAACGCGAACCGTGTGAAGGGGGTAGACGTGTACACTCGGAAAAAAAAATTAGCGAGATTATCTTAGCCACTATGATTGATATGTGGATTGTATGTTGAAGAACTCCCGAGGACAAGCACAATAACAGAGCAGTGATTACTTTATACCAACTAAAGACGAACGCAAATGCGCGGCTAACCAATATGGCTGCCTCCGATCGTGGTCACAGCGTGTGTTGAAATGAACCCGCTACCTGTCCCCTGGATGTGACCATTTCGGCTTCTCGATTCAAGTTGCATTTTTAGAAGTTCAGACATGTGATTTAAGGTTATTGTTTTTATTACACCATACAAACATTTTATTTCTTTCCACGTGAGTGTTTTAGCTTCATCGAAATTAATTTTGACTTTCACTAAGTGGGGAGGGATAGCGTGCGAGACTACTTCTGTTCACGGCCCACAATGCAACTTCCGTCCACGGAATACAACTTCCGTCAACATCGTCTCCACCACAATACCTTATCCATTGCTTTCAGCATGAATGAGCTAAAAAAGAGAGCTCGACAATCGACATTTAATGTACGTCATAATACTACTTACTACTATAAAAATTCAGGCTGACCGACGCCTGTAAACTGTGGTAAACCGGGAGGCCGGCAAACCGTGCTTGAATTTAGTCTCGTTGCTATTTCAATGAACGTTTTCATGAACGACAACGAATAAATGCAACATAGTCAGGGAAAAAAGAGGACAAACTTGGCAAAAAGTTACGAATTGGCTCTACTTTACGGCAAGGTGGAGTGAAGACTCTTCAACACAACGACTAAACCATGTGATGGTTCCAATCTTTACATTCGATTACAACATGCCCCCAGCAGATCGCTTTTCCATTTGCGGTTTGTATTTCTGGTGGTTTCGGCGAGATTCAAGTCACGCCACAAGCAAGCTCGACGATTCCCCACAACATCGAAATATCTCATGTTATGCTACGCAATTTAATGTTCAGCTAGAGCGTCTGATTTTCTGCCAAGCTATTCGACGTAACGCCACACCGTTTATGCGTACGCTGTGCTATTCGACATTACCCTGACCCATTTCGCGCAACGCTGCGCTGTGTGTGTACAGTGTGCCATTCGACATTACGCTGAGTCATTTGACACAACGTTACACCGTTTGTGTACAAATGCTAAGCTATTCGCAATTGAGCTAATCCATGTGACAATGTGGATCAATATCGGTATCTGGGCAACTAAACCGTCTATAATCTGGCCTTGCCATTCCTTCATTAGCTATGCTATCCTGCAGCTGATCCATATACCAGCTTTGTATTTGCTGATCTATTTGACATCCTTGTACTTTTGGTGGTGACGGTCGCCCATAAGTAATTCGTGCGCCAAATTCCTCCCGCAAAAAAATTCTACGTTCGATATCACATGAAGTCTTAAACATATAACCCTCGTCATTCATTGCTTCAGTTGTAACTTTAATTCTTATAGAGGGTGTATGTAATGGTAGAACATGTACAGTGAGCATCAATAAAATTATTACCCAGTATTACCAAGTATATCACATTACGTCGTTTCTCAGTGCTTCTGGACAAATTAAAATTATCGCGGTATGTCTTTTGACAGAAAGACATTTTGACTTGCGCTAAGTATTTTTTCTGTTTTAATTTTGCGGGTAGTTTAATGATTGATCCGATGCTAGACTGATGCTCTGGTAGTTCTATACTTTTGTTTGCCATGACAATATATATGATTCCTGATACATGTCAGGTCTTTATTCAAGCCTGAAAGAATGGAATTTGCTCATAAAATTTTACCGAAAATGTCGATGTTGTCGAACTGAGGTTGCCGACCACCTCAGGGTAAACCAGAAAAAGGACTTTAAAATTTTTGATTAGCCAACGTTTTGGAGCCGGAAGCAACTACAATTAAATTAGAAGCCATTCTTAGAAATCCAAGCCAATTGAGGAACCTTCCTTTGCAAGATGATCTTTTGAATTGCAGCTAACTCTTGCATTATGTTGGCTCCAGCTCCTAAAGTAAATCCAAGTACTTGTTCCGGCACATTACACCGCAAGATGCAAAACCTCGCCTGAAGCGACAGATAAACGAAAGTTAGTAAGATACTAAAATTTGATGTTTTGCGAAGAAATCTTTAATTTTTTTCTCAAATTATTTAAAGTTATTGCGCCTCTTGACAGTACTTACAAAATTTCGAATTTCACTAACACAATCCCACTACCGGTTTTTCTCGAAATGTGTACGATGACCTTTTCATCACGGCGATGAGACAAAAGTTTCAAATTACTTTCATGAAATTGTAGGGTGTTCAAAACGCATTTACTTTTTCCATTCAACTTAGGATCTAACTTGAGAAAAGATTGCAGATCGTCCTAGCCAAGCCACGTAGGACAACTGCAATTTCGCATAGTCGAGGCGAAATTGATCAGCTTAGCGAGCCCACTGAAACTGCCTTCTATCGCAGCGGTGTCAATTATTGTTCTCGGGAATACGGAAAATTTATAAGTTAGACGAGACTTACCTGTAAGTTGAAGTTTGACTGTAATTCTATGAGATACCAGTCACGAACTAGGGAGTCACGTGAGATATGTGCGAGTAGCCCGAGCGATCAGTCTTTAAAGGCGAATGATTGCAAACAATAATGGGTGGGAAGTAAT